GGTATAGGGATTGAACTCAGTGGTGCTCTACCATTAAACCTCAACACCACCCCCCCTTTGTTTTTTCTAAGTTGTCCAGGCTGGCCTTAAACTTGTGATCCTCCTGCCTTAGCCTCCAGAGTAGCTGGGATTACAGGTGTGTGTCACCCCACTGGCTAACTAGATTTTTTTTTAAATATTTGTTTTAGTTGTAGGGGGATACAATAACCTTTATTTTATTTTTATGTGGTGCTGAGAATCGAACCCAGTGCCTCATGCATGCTAGGCAAGCGCTCTACTGCTGAGCCACAACCGTAGCCTCTAGATTTTTTTTTTTAAATTAGAAAAGGAAAACATGTGTTTTAACAGTCCAAAGAAATATTCAACAACAACAAAAAATTCTCCCTTCCATACCAGTAGGGAGGGAATTGAGTTCTTTCTAGGGACCTCTGCTTACATTAGATCTTCCAGTGCCCCCATGGGCTTGTGTTCAGGTGCCAGGGAGCAAGAAGTGGGTTTGAAGTTAAAAGTGAAAGATCTGTCTTTACTAAAACCTATGAAAGCATCCAGAGAGAAGATGGTCCAAGGAATAGTTTAGGTGGCCTGATATGTGAGTGTAGATCAAAGGGTGAGAATGTATTCTGCTCCCCTTGGTAGGGACCCCACAGGTCTACGACAGTAGGAGGTTCAAGAGTGCAGAGGGAAGTTTGGATACACCACAGCTCCCAGCTGATAAGCATCTCAAATGGTGCAGGTCCAGGCCTGATGCTCTGGTGACATCAGGAATCAGTGACTTCTAAACAGGAGGAACAGCACCACAGGTGGAAGCAAAAGATGGCAACTTGTGGACGTGGCAGCTGTAGAAGTCCTCATCCTCAGTGGTCAGAGTGACGTCAGAAGGTGTCCTCATACAGTGGCACTCAGGAGCGTGGCTTCTGGACTTGGCTTTCCCTGGCTTTCTCCTGGCGTTGCTACTTACTAGCTCCTCCTGGTACCTTCTCCACAGGGCGCTGGAAGGATTTGTTCAAGTAACAAAGCTCAGTTAAACCCAACATCTTGTTCATATTTATCTTTTAATATTCTTCTTATGAAAGGGCTCAGTAGGATGTGGAGGCTCAGCAGAAGACACTAGGGAAGGACAATAGCATAGAAGAAAAGAGAAAAGAGCCACAGAATGATTAGAAGTCTTTGCAGCAAAAAGGGGAGGAGATGGGAGACTGTTGGGCTTTTTGGTGTGTGAGGGAATTCATCATTTTTACTCTCAGGCCTGTGAGACCTTTGGAGACATGAGCTATGTGGGCCAGACAGGAAGGAAGCTAGAATTCACAGAGGATTCTGAGCCTGAGCTGAGAAGGCTGGATTTCATTTAAGAGGGAACTGTATTAAGATTAATCCAGAGCTCTGTGCAAAGAAGTCAGAACAGGGAAAGCTTGGGGAAACACAGGCCGATGAAAAGATTACTGCCATAAACTGTGGGGGGAGGCATAGGAGCTGACAGAAGATGGTAGCACTAAGAATGGAAATGAGGGACAGATGTAAAAGAGACGCTTGGCGACAAACTATCCCAGGATGTATAAAGCATCTGCTTACCCACGTCTTCAGTGTGTTCCAGTCCAAATCCTAGTGTTCTAGAAACTATGTAGACCAGCACCTTGCCATATGCAATCCAATAAGCTATTAGGTTTGGTGTTCATATACATTGTTTTAAACAATTAAGTAGCTTTCCCAGACCAAACTGCTAATTATTTCATTGAACGACACATTGAATGGTAATTCTATAGCACAAATATCTGAATTGCTTTCCTATCCCTAGATCATTTTACATGTGAGATCTCAAACTATTCCACCATCCGCTGATGCATTATAAATTCAATAAATTATTAATAAGGTATGTGATGAGCAGCAAATATACTTAACATCATTATTTCTGTACTGTTGCTAACAAATGCCCATTTCTCACATCAGTGGTTTATTTTCTTTTCATATTGATTTAAAATATTTATTCTCCATACTGAGGAAAGCTAAATAAATGGAAGAAATCAGGAGGAAAATAAATATGGCAAACAAATTTACTAACAAATTATACCCAGATCACCTGGATTTGAGAAAGGTATATTAACATTAATGGCTTCATTGTTGCCATTATTTGCCACTATCCTGGAATTCAGAATTGTGATATTAATTTCACAAGCAAGAGTTAAAACTGTAGTGTATGTGCAAATCTAAGGCTACAATTTGTCTAGTTATTCAAGAATGAAACTATTTAGTACTACTATGCAGTATTAAACTTGATTTTTCCTCATTAGCCATGGGCAATAATACCTACCTCCCTACACTATCATGAGGATTAAATGAAGTGACTTCTGTTAAACTATGGACTGTGACACACATGTAAAATGTTATCTTTCTTGTGCCCTAAAACAGAGACTTGGGGTATTTTTAATTAACATTCACTCTCATCCACCAGGAAAATAATACACACAGTAGGCAGGGAGCAGGTGAACCACAAATACTTTACCACTGGCATCAGCAGGTTTACAGCACAAGGCAACTTTCTACGCAACAGGCTCTTCCTTTACAGGTATTCTCTGGATCCATTAAAAAGCAGTATCAGGGACTGGGATTGTGGCTCAGCGATAGAGCGCTCGCCTAGCATGTGCGATGCCCAGGGTTCAATCCTCAGCACCACATAAAAAAATAAATAAATAAAATAAAGATATTGTGTCCAACTACAACTAAAAAATAAATATTAAAAAAAAAAAAGCAGTATCAGGGCTGAACGTGGTGGAGCACTCCTGTAATCCCAGACACTCTGGAAGGCTGAGCAGGAAGATTACAAGTTTGAGGCCAGTCTCAGCAATTTAGTAAGAATCTGTTTCAAAATAAAAAATAAAGGGCTGGGGATGTGGCTCAGTGGTAAAGTGCCTCTGGGTTAACCCCCTGGTAACAAAAAAAAAAAAAAAAAGAAGAAGAAGAAGAAGAAAGAAATAAACAAGCTGATTCCACACTGTATTGGGATGATGTGAGAAGATAGACACTTTTTAATTTTTTTGGTACCAGGGATTGAATCCAGGGTGCTTAACCACTAAGCCACATCGCCAACCTTTTTTATTTTTTTGTTTTGAAAAGGGTCTCACTAAGTTGCTTAGGGCCTTGTTAAATTGCTGAGGCTTGCTTTGAATTTGTGATCCTCCTGCCTCAGCCTCCTAAGCTGCTGCTATTAGAGACATGCACCACCTTACCTGGCTCTCATACACTTAAAAAGAAAATATATATATATTTAGTTGTAGGTTGAAATAATACCTTTATTTTATTTTTATGCGGTGCTAAGGATCAAATCCAGTGCCTTACGCGTGCCAGGCAAGCGCTCTACCACTAAGCTACCACCCCAGCCCTCTCATACACTTTTGGAGGGAATGAAAACTGATATATCTTTATAGGCTAGGGCCATTAGGAAACATCTAGGATCTAGGAAGACTACACTTGCAAAAATCCATTTCTAGGAATTCATCTTGTAGATATACTTTCACTGTGCAATATAACATGTGTACATAGATATCCACCATAGTATTGTTTATCACAGCAAAGCACTAGAGATTGTTTAAATAAAATTACAGGTATTCTCTGGATCCATTAAAAAGCAGTATCAGGGGCTGGGATTGTGGCTCAGTGGTAGAGCGCTTGCCTAGCATGTGATTACACTGTTCAAAAAACAGAATACTATCTACTGATTAAGAGAGAAGAGAGAGAGAAAGACTCTTTATATACAAATGTTCTTGTTATCTATTGCTATATGATAACTTTCCTGATAATTCAGTGGATTAAAACAATTTATTATATTCTCTCCTAGTTCTGTGGATTGGTTTGCTAGGCTGGGCAATTCTCTTCTGGAATCTTTCTGCCATAAGATGGTGGCTGCGATAGGAGTCATTGGAAGGCTCTCTTGGAATGCATGTCCAAGAGGGCTTCTTCACTCAGGTTGTCTTCTGTGTTGGTTGGAACACATGGAACAGCTGAGAACTAGCAAGAATCAATCTCTGTCTCTCTCCAGGCAACCTCTATGAGGCCTCCTCGCAGTGTGGAGGACTTCTGACACGGGTGACTAGAGGGTGACTAGATTCTCTCAGAATCTGCATTCCAAGAGAAATTCCAAGAGATTGGGAACAGAAGCTGCCAGTCCTTTTAAAGCTGGCACAGTGTTACATTGCTACATTTGATTGTGTAAAGAGTCACAGGGCCACACAGATTCAGGAGGAGGAGAAATGAACTCTATGAGGAGAATGACCAGGATTTTTGCAGCCATCTTTAATTTACAACTAATATAATCACTTCCTAGGTATATAGGGAAAAAAGGGATAAGTAAAAGAATGTGTATTTAGTAATGTATATTTGTAGAAAAAAAGAATATTTTTAATGTCTTGGTATATGCACAGATAATATCCGCAGTGATACACATAAAATTGGGAATAGTGTTTTGAGGAAGGGGAATTAGAGCTGAAGCATGGAGACTTTTATTGTATACCATTTTGTTTTAATTTTTTATCATATGCATGCATTACCTCTTCAAATTCTAAATCCATGTTTTGATACAATATTTGGTATAATTTTTGTTATAAGTGAAATAAATGTTGCTTGTGGTGAATAATCTGACAATACTTCATGTAGTCAATTTTTAAAAATAAGTATGTTACCAACTTTGCAGCTTCTTGTTCTTCATTGTGAAAAGCCTGTCTAAAAAGTGATTCTGTTTAAATGGAACCAGTGGTCAAAGCTGCTATAACTGCATAATAGAACATAAAACACAAACAAATGTTAGCTCTTCAAAGAGTAATAAAAGGATTAATCCACATTCTTTACATTTTTCATATGCATAGTAAATGATTACCAAAAACTTCTTCCAACAAGTCACATGAATTTTCATTAGAAATAGTGCAAAGATGTCATGGCCACAGTGATCGCACCAGAGATTTGGAAGGCTGAGGTGATAGGATCCCTTGAGTCAAGAGGTTTGAGGTCAGCCTGGGCATCATAGTGAGACCTAGTAAGACCTGTCTCTAAAAAAAAAAAAGTGCAAAACTTCGTGTTTAACTATTTAGTCAGAGTTGGATGAGCAATGAGCAGGAGAGAGGAATGAAAGGACAGAAAAGGAGAAAAGAATGGGAAATCTTGTTCCTATCTCTGTGAAGTATTTCATGAAAATCCTAGAGTTACAAAACTAGGTGTTTGGGAGCTGGGAGTGTAGCTTAGTAGTAGGGTGCACACACACAGAGACACACACACACGTGTATGTACTTGGTTTGACTGTGAATAGTTTCTTCACAGATTTTGAGCAAGGATAAGGCTTATTTATAAATTATTGGCATCTCAACTAATATTGCTAATTTGGAAGGCATTTAAAAAATAAGTATTAATAATCATTTTCCCCAAATTGTCAGATAATTGCAATAGAACAATAATGAGATTGACCTCATTTTTAAAAATGTACGTTCATTTTTAATGATAGCATCTTAGTCCCATCCTGATGACAGGAAATAGTTCAACTTTTTATCTTTCAAATAAATTAAGAAGTTGAATTCTTTGTGATTCTTTTTCCCTGAAATGCAATAAAAATGTCACGTTAAAATACAAGATTGCCAGGACTGATACTGGCTTTTGAAAGAATACTAATAACTTTTTAGTTGCTAAGAGTTTCTTTTTATACATAGAAAATACTCTTGCTATCCTTAAGAAGTATTTTCAAGATCCAAAGAAAGAATTTTGATTGTAGCTTTTATACAATGTTGCCATTATTTTTCATGATGCTGTTGCCAAAAAGGAGGGTACAGCATATGAGTACTATAAGCAGCTTGTGAATATCTTTGCTTACAACAGAATTTAGAAAAAGAAATGATAAATGTGTGCCATTTAAAGTAAGGATATTGTGAAAGAAAATTGCAATGCTTTATGGCAAAATGGATTCACTAAAATAGAAGTTTTAAGTAAAATGCAAAAGTAACTCACAATGGCTTCTCTTAATTTGCCTTGATTCAGTAGAAATAAGGGGAAGTTGAATGTAATGGACATCTGTTGGGTTTTTTTGGCTGTCCAGCATCCTACTATTCTTTCTTTCCCCTTGCTGTGTAGGCCCCCCAGCACACACGTCCCCATGCAGATACCCACAGAACCACAAAGTCTTCTAGCTGCCCTTTGGTACCTCTGCTGAATAGACACGTGTCCTGACTTGGGCAATAAAATACCAGGATTTTGCATTTTGAATGAGTGACCCAAAGACTGGGGAAATCTGGGATTGGATTGCTCTCAGCAGCAATAACATGGTGCTGAGACTACGCAGTCTCTGGTATTTCACCTCCATGGCTACCTGAATCCAATTTTTTCCCAAGCTCTCAAGCCATCTTTCATTTTGGTAAGTCCCTAATGCCTACTCACATATGGAGATATGGATGCAATTTCATGTAACAGAAACAAAAAATAATGGGAACTTAAACAAAGTACAAGTGTATGTCTCTTTCACATAATAGTTTGGTTAGAGGTTTTTATGATGCTATAGTGGCTCTTAGTCATTTGGAACCCAGAGGGCTTCCTATATTTCTGTTTTGCCACCTTTAAAATATAGACCAAGCTGTCATACATGTGAGGGGATAAAAAGAAGAAGTGTATGCTTCTGTCCTTTAAGGATAAGTCCAGGAACTTGCACGCACTACTTCCACTTACATTCCATTAATCAGAAATTACACACATGCTCCGACCTAGCTGCAAGGGAAGCTGAGAAATGTGGTCTTTATTCTCATAGATCATGTCCCAAATGCTGTACTACTGGGTAAAAAGGAAAAAAAATATATAGAAATTAAATAATAATAAGCTCTCTCACCACACTTTCCATAGTTACTTTTTTAAACTTATATAGCCAGAGATGGTTTCTATCAATCAGAATCTTGTCTGATTCAATGAGGAAACCCTAAATGGAATAACTTAACAAGGCAGCATTGCATTGCAACCCCAGGCATCACCACATAGTGTCAAGGTGTAAATCTAAAATGGGGCATTGGGCTGGGGTTGTGGCTCAGCGGTGGAGCACTCACCTAGCACGCACAAGGACCTGGGTTTAATCCTCAGCACCTCAAAAACATAAATAAATAAAATAAAGGTATTGTGTCTAACTACAACTAAAAAATAAATATTAAAAAATAAAAATAAACAAAATGGGGTGTCATCCTTTGTTGAGAGCCACAGCCAAAGGGGCCCCAGCAAACTTCTAGCTGCCAGCAAACTTCCAGCTGCCGGCTGATGATTGGCTCACAGCGGCCCCAGCAACATCTAGCTGATTGGCTCCTCCACGGAGCTGCTCATTGGGGGACTTCTTTGGCTCTGCCCACACAACCCAGCCAATCGGCCTCAAGAGCAGGAGGATTGTGGGAAGTTGAGAGGCTGGTGTGGGGGGGAGAGGCTTGTGGAAGCCGGTGGTGGCAGTTGGGCTCTGAGGGTTTTTTCCCTGAGGAGCTGTTTTGTTTGGCGTTTGTAGTTCTAAAAATAAAGTTAGTTTCTTTTGACAAGTGGCTCCTGAATTGTGCCCAGCCAGACTGCGGCAATCCTTATTATTTATTCTCCTTCCATATTCAATCAGGTACCCAAGCATGTACGAGGCCCTGCATTCAATCCCCAGCACCATTAAAAACAAAACAAAACTCAGTTCTGCTCCTTTCACTTCATTCCTGCAGCGTTGCCTCAGACAGAACGTTTGTCATTCTTCCTACTCCTGCCTCCTCATCCCTCCAATTCCACTTCTGTCCTGTGGAACACATTCTAAAATCTAAATCTGTATAGTGTGTCTCCAATTTCCCTACATAATATTTCAATTAATTTGTCTTAAGGATAAAATCCAAACTTTCTGGTGTGGTAGACAAGGCCCTTCACTGTATGTCCCTTTGAGTCTTGTTTCTTGACATCCCCCATTGCCCATATGCCTGGTATCTTGGATATTTCCCCATCTTTCAAACTAACCTGCTTTGATAAGAACTCATCCCTGCTTGCACATACAAGTCAGGTAATCTGGAACTACAAATGGCTCAGTCTGGAAGGGAGAGAGACTGCAGAGCAGCATGCTGTCCAGACAGATAAGAGACTACATTACCCCCACTTAAGGAGTATTTTATGAATGGGAGATGCAGCATGGTGACAGGAATGTTTGTGCAGGTTTCTACCCTCAATTCCAAATATTGTGCCAGACTCCAGCTACCATTCAACATCAGTAAAATGAAAGGTCACTATGCATCACGCAGACAACAGTGGGTAATGATTTTTTCTGATCTATGTACATTTCAACATTCTTAATAATTTACTCAATGTATGTCATTTGTATGAACTCAAATTACTATCATCTAATATGGTCAGAAATTACATATAAATGCATCAAGGCCATGTTTTTGTTTTCTCAAAATTTTGTACCATTTACACATATCAATTAAATGAGTGATGTAATAGACAATCATTATACTCTGATAAAATAGAAAAAAACATAGTTAATATGTGCAAATAACATTTATGATGAATATAAAGTAATGTTTTTGGCAATTCTCCTGGCTTAGCTTCCCAAGTCATTGGGATTACAGGCATGTGCCATAGTGCCCAGCTGATACAAACATTTATTGAAACTCATTGAATAGTATACTTAAAATATATGCATTTTATTGTATGTAAGTTATATCTCAATCAAGTTTATTTAAAAACATTTGGGCTGGTAGTTAGTGGCCACCATGTAATCTCAATGACTGGGGAAGCTGAGGAAATAGGATTGCAACTTCAAGGCCAGTCTTAGCAATTTAGCAAGGTTCTCAGCAACTTAGTGAGACTCTGTCTCAAAATAAAAAAATAAAAAGGGCTGGGGATGGGGCTCAGTGGTAAAGCACCCCTAGGCTCAATCCCAGTAAGATAAATAAATAATAAAAACATTTGGAAGCTGATGATGTAGTGGATATAAGGAAAATAATCATTAGGGTTACTAAATCATGTCAATGATAGCTTCTAAATCTTTTTGGTTTATTTACAGCAAACTTTATTTTAAATGGCAAAATGTTAAAAATATTCTCTTTATTTTAACTTTTTTTTCACATTTTTAAACTTGTGCAATATAGTTGAACATAATGATGGTATTTGTTGTTACATATTCATATATGCACATAATATAACAATATAGTTTGGCCAATAGCTTCTCAGCCTTTTGGCTAAGATCATATATACTATCTCTTAATCAATTTAACATCTGATACATCCTCCATCTGAGGACAATATATTAAGTGGATTTTTAGAGCAGAGAGATGGAATAAGGGCTTGCTCCATCCACTCCACACCACACATTAACATGGTATTGCAGTATCTTAGGAATTGTGCAATCCATCCACTTAAAAAAAAAAAGTAATGTTTTTCTCATTGGGGTGATGGTAAAAGGAAATGATGAGCAGGGTGTGGTGATGTATGCCATAATTCTGGCGGCTCAGGAGGCTGAGGCAGGAGGATTGTGAGTTCAAAGCCAGTCTCAGCAATTTAGCGAGGCCCTAAGCAACTCAGCGAAACCCTGTCTCTAAATAAAACACAAAATAGGGCTGGGAATGTGGCTTAGTGGTTAAATGCCCCTGGGTTGAATCCTCGGTATCAATCAATCAATCAATCAATCAATAAATGATGACATAAGGACATTTATTGCATAAGCTTCCACAGTGGGATAAATTCCTGTATGTAGCAGAAAGTCAAATGAAATGGGATTAAACTGAAAGAAAACAGTAGAATTAGACATAGTAAAAAAAAGTTTCTGGTGAAGGATCATTATAGAAAAGGATTACTGAACATGTTATAGACTCTCACTGGGATGGACAATTACCTGTCTAGGATGACTTAATTATGGTTTTTGCCTAGAGGCATGAGGCTGAGTTGATGACATCTGCACTAGGATTTTATAGTTCTATTGAAAAGAATATAAAACCTGCATAGTTTTAAATTTATTACAAGGCTTATGGTGGAATGCATTCACATAAAGATCAAAGTGTTGATTTACAGATAGCAATTCTATAACCTAGATTTTGTGGAATCAGGTTCTAGGCAACCTTCATAGTATATTTCTCTATAAAAAGTCTGATATAAAAAGAATCATAAATTTCATACTTCTTAGTAATCCAGTACTTTCCTTCATTTAAAAGCATATATTACATTGAAACAATATATTACATATAAAATACTTAGGTTGCTCTTGTATAACCAAATATAAAATTAATAATCTATATCTAGCTTTTTCTCCTATGCATGAGAGGAGTTAAAATCAGAACTCTTAGTCAGCTTGATGGTGCATGCTGTAATTCCAGCAGTTCAGGAAGCTGAGACAGGAGGATTGCAAGTTCAAGGTCAGCCTCAGCAACTTGGCAAGACCCTGTATCAAAAAAAAAGAGGGGTGGAGTGGGGGAATGTAACTCAATGGAAAAGCATACCTGAGTTCAATCCCCAGTACCAATAAATAAAATCAGAACTCTTCATTGTTCATTTTACTTATATGATTGATACAGGCAAATGGGTAATCATTTGCAAGTCAGTGTTAGATGAAAACAAAAGATTCTTTAACCATTATATTGATATAAACAATGAAAAAGGAAAGAGGAGCTGGGGTGTGGCAGAGTGTTGCCTAGCAAGGACAAGTCCTGGGTTTGATTCCCAGCACCACAATAAACAAACAAATAGCAGTCTGGTATGTTTCTTCCCAGTCTTTCATATTTGTAATATACATTTAAACAAATATCATGCTGGAATTTTTATCTTTAAGTGTTTGTTATATAATGTTAGACTTCTAGAGAAGTTGCAAAATAGTACAAACAACTCTGTTCTACCCTTCACCCAGATTTCCCGAATATTAACATTTGATCACACTTGCTTTATCCTTCTGCTCTCTGTGAACCTTTTTAGAGTACCTTGATATATGATGATGCATGCCCCTTTACATCTCTTCAACCCTTCATTCTGTATTTCCTAAAAAGAAGAAATTGTTTTGCATTAACCACAGTACAATGATCAAAATCAGGAGATTAATATTGATACAAGACTATTATATAATTTTTGCCACATTTCACCAATTCTTGCAACAATGTCCTTTTTAACAAAAGAAAATCCTTGGTTATGCTTCATATTTGGTTGTATCTTTTTAATTTTCAGTCTTTCTTAGTGATTGTTTTTGAGATGGGGGTCTTATGGTCTTAATATGTTGCCCAACTGGATCTCCAACTCCTTCTGGGCTCAAGCAATCCTCCTGCTTCAGCCTCCCAAAACCCTGGGACTACAGGTGTGCACCACCCCACCCAGCAAGTATTTCTTAATATTGACCTATTTGAAGAATAAAGGCCACTTATTTTGCAGAATGTCCCTTAATTTGGAATTGTCTAATATTTTCTAATGACTTTCAAGTTATCTTTTTTTTTTTCAAAAACACTATAGAAATAATTCATTCTTCTCAGTGTATGTATCTGGGAAGCACATGATGGCAATTTGTCCCATTATGATGATGATAACTTTGACCACAAACAGTTTTGTATCCTACATTTTCATTTATGATAATATTAAAATTTATCATGTCCTTCAAAATTCTTGCAAACATCATGTTAGCATGTATAAAATATTTCATTTATGAATGTCATAATTTATTAACTGATCATATTTCTGTTTTATGTATCTTTGCATTGGTAAGAACTTCCAGAATAATGTCATATAACAATGGAGTCAGTAGACATTTTGTTGCACTCCTGATTTTAATGAAATGTTTTCAGTATTTTAGCATTAAGTATTTTATTGGCTGTTGATTTGAAATAAGTTTTTTTGTAATGTTAGGGTGTGATTAAAACTAAAGAGCCAAGAAATCTCTAGTTGTTCAATTCATTTATTCACTTATGACCATAAATCCTTTATTGCTCAACCCCACCCAGTATGTTTGAACTATATTACTTGACTATGTATTTTTTCTTGCCCTCTGGAAATTGTGTCCTTTTTATACCTTTGGAATTTATAATTCAAAAACTGCTCTCTACTCTCCTTAGAATAAATCTATTTCATCACCAATTTCAAGTTCTCCCCTCTCTCTTCTAGGCTTTGTATAGTTGCTGATCTCTACTGAGAGGTGAAAGAAGAGGATTGGTAGTTACCTGTATCTACTCAAGTATGGATTTAGGTTGCCTTCATTTCTCTGGTAAATATTACCTGGCCAAGGATGTTCTGCCAATTCAAGTCCTCCAAGAAGCAGATGCTGAGATGGAGTTAAGAGTCAAGGGCACTGGAGTTGTGGCTCAGAGGTAGGGCGCTCGCCTAGCATGCGTGAGGTACTGGTCGCCTAGCATGCATGGGGTACTGGGTTCGATCCTCAGCACCACATAAATGTAAAATAAAGAAATTGTGTCCACCTGTAACTAAAGAATAAATATTAAAAAAAAAGAGTCAAGAAGTTTGCTTAGGCATAATACTTGCAAACAATAAAGGATGAGAGAATAAAAATGTAGCAGGGAGAACCTCAGTATATGATGCAGATCTGACAATGTCTTAGCCAACCCATGGGCAGCTGTGGAGCAAAGACTGCACATTACAGAAATCTTGCCTGGGGCTGAGATGCCAGGCCATCGTGTCCTGCTGTGTTCTGTCACTGACTGAGGACTACCCAAGAAAAGCATTCTGAGGAGCTGTACAAGAAGGCTTGTCACAGCTCACTGTACTCCCCACAGCTAAGGAGTTCTTTTATAAATAGTGATCTGGGCAGCTCACCAGCATGACCACCATAGGTATCTTCTGTGTGGAAGGTGCCCAATTGCCCTTTCTCTCCTGAGACTACTGTGTGGTTTCTTTGGAGGGCCTGGTAGGGCTGTCATAACTCCTTTCCCAGTTTTGGGAAGTCTGGTTTTGGTTTTACTTCTTTCATATCTGCCCCCATCTCCCACAGCACTAATGGATCCCACAGACTCTTGGTATCAGGGAATCTTTAGTCAGGGGGTGGCTCTCTTGAATAAATAGCTGCTTTCTGCAGGCTGTCTCCCTACAACCCTTGGGAAATGCTTGCACACTTGTCCTGATACAGGGCAATGCAGGATTCTCCACCACAGCCTGTCTCTGCCTAGACATCTCTCTCCCATTAGCTCTTCTCTTGTGTAGACAGGTACAGGCAGTAGGTCAGATGTGCTGCTTAAGCTTATTAATACTAAATAAATATCATTATTTAGGATACTGAAATGCCAATCACTCTTTCTTGCAGGCCCCTCCGTAACACAGTCTACAAGTGATCCTCTAAGCATCTTCCACTTTACTTGTCTTGCTATGGGGAAGTGGGGGACTCACCCTTCACCATGACCACTGTACTCCCCAGCAGGCCCATGATAATCAGAAGTCCAAAGATGTGCTTTCTTAAATGAGTGATAAAGGGGTAGAGTTCCTGAACACACTTCATGATTGCATGTATCCTAAGTACAAATTTATATGAAAATTGTTATGTGCCGTAGCAAGGGGGAAAAAAGAGTTGAAAACTACTGTTACAGAGACAAGAAATATACAGCAGAGAAATAAAAAGGATTAAGGATCATAAGAACTCTCTTAAGACTTTTGGGTAATTAGAATAGGGAACACTTGTATTTTGCCTCTCAAGCCCTTATTATTCCTTCTCCAAGTCACAACTAGTGTCACTGTATACATTTGCACAAGTTGTAAAGTACATAAAGGATGCTAGATACATTGCAAGGTGATTTGTGACCTTTGGAGATGAGCCATGCAATCTATACAACATTCACAGTAGACCTGGTTACAGTCCTAGTTTTCCTTTGTGATACCTAGCTCAGCCTCTCACAGCACTATCTGATAGGATGCTAATCCCGGTCCTAGAACTATAGCACATAAATAGGTCTAATCCATCCCATTCCCATGGCCTTGGACTCATTAGCAGCCATATCAATTATATCATAGGATACTTGGTGAAATGTACAGCCTTGTGACATAACTTCCCAGAAGAAAAACTGATTTTCTTTTTACACTAATGATACTTAACGAAGACAGCAACTATCAATTAAAAGTGTCAAAATGAAGGACTTGTTTTTTCCAAGCAATGGTGCTGGCATCTTTACTAACTTAGCCTCTCTCCTCTCTGGTATCTTTTTTTTTAAAAATATTTTTTAGTTGTCAATGGACCTTTATTTTATTTATTTATTTATATGTGGTGCTGAGAATCGAATCCAGTGCCTCACACATGCTAGGCAAACACTATACCACTGAGCCAAAACCCCAGCCCTCTGGTATCTCTTGTGTCCATTGGGTACCACTGAAATTAGGCTGAAAATAATCTAGTAAATATATTTTTAGAGGAAAGTTTTTCTCTGACCAAGATGGAGACTCAACAACAAGCACTGCTATAATCTCTAATCAGTCAAGGCTAGAATAAAACAGACCATGGTGTATTGGAAGGTAGTGAGTCCCCATCGCTGCAGGTGATCAAACAGGCTGGGCAATTAATTGCTTATAAAGCCTGAAGTACAGGGGATTCATATGCCCACTGGGGGCTTAGACTACATTGCCAAGGTGATGTCTTCCATGTGGGCTTTTAAAATAGTAAAGATATTCAAACATATGCACACAAACAGAAACATGATATTCCAAGAATTAAATAGATTGTGCTATAGATTTGCCTCCAAAATTTTTTGGAAGCATAAGAGTGTGAAGATTCTTTCCTTTGCAGGGTATCATTCAACTGAATTGTGATGCCAGTACGTCAAAATTATGAACCAGATTCTGGGTGGTTTTCTTCACAATTTTGTTGAGACAAGTCTATTTCTTTGTGCATTATGTTATTTTTATGTCACTAATTTAAAATTTTATGAGGCCTCTTCCCATATATTTTCCCCATATAGCTATCTAAAAAGCACACACACAACACAGAGACTAATTTTTTTGTCATTTATGTCTTTTGCTTCACCAATTTATTTACAGATTTATGGTTCATTGGCTTTTGGTTTGAAAATTAATGCTAAATCAATACTTTGTATAAATTTATTATGATTTCACTGTAAATTATTTTGCAATAGATTGTTTGACTGATGTGGTGTAAAACTCTATTGTATATAAATGAAAACATTAAGCAAGTTGAAGGCATAAAATCAGCTAGCACCCTAATATAGCAGCTTTTGAGTGAGAAACTATATAGCATTTTTATGTAGCATATGGGAAAACTGTGCAGCATGGGAGTTTTTAGCATTAATTCTACAGTTGTACTAAATCTAACATGTCAGTCTCTATCTCCACTCCAGCCAGATTTAAAGTGTGAAGTTTTCACTGCTGCACGGAATGCTGAAATCTAACATGGCAGTGTTCGAGGAAGCCCATCTTCATAAAGCAAGTCTAGACTATTTAGCATCTATACGTGGAAATCATCTTAACCATTGGGTATTTTGAAATGTAATTTTCTTCCAAATTATGGAATATTTCCAAAATTGCTCTAATGTTTTGACCACTCTATTATCTTTTAAGTAAAAGGAAATTATCACTACAATGAAGAGCAAGACATTTTAATTCTAATCACATTTTCAGAGCCTACCTTTCATTTCTGACATATCTTTCTGGTTTTGACAAATGAAAAACTGGAAACTGTGCAGTTGATTCGCATAAGGAAGAAAGCATGCATAATAGCCGCAGTATTTTTAAAGGCACATATGTCATAACTCAATTGATTTTCACAAAGTGAACACACCCGTATAATCAAGACACAGACTGTTACTGGCTTTCCAGAAGCTCCCCTCCCATTTGTCTGCAGTCACTAGCCACTCTCATAAGGTAATCCTGACTTCTGATGGAGAGATTACTTTTGCTTGCTTTTATACTTCATACAACTGGAATAATACATTGGTGATTTTGAGAATGACCTCTTCCACTGGGTTTAGGTCTATGAATCATGGCCATGCTGTGGTCTATTCCTGCTCTTTGCCATATGCCATTCCATTATTGAAATGTTCTACAGTTTATCCTTTCCTCTGTTGGTGAGCATAGCTTCTACATTTTATCCATTATAAACAGTATTGCTACATTCTAGAGCATGACTTTTAGTGAATAGAAGTAAATACTTTGTTGGGTATAAATCAAAGTACTATTTCTATAGATGTACGGTTAAAACATCTACCCCTTGTGCTCAGCCTTATGGACAATGGCATCTTTTTCTTTCTTTCCCCCGCCCTCCACCCTCCAGATGCTGGGGATCAAACCCAGGGCTTCATACATGCTAGGTAAGTGCTCTACCACTGAGTTATTTCCCAGCCCTAAAGACATCTTTTTTCTAGTCATGATGTTAGGAAGGCAGCCTACAGTTTTTCTAATACAAAAAGGACATGACATTCAAAACATCCTGATCCTTAAGGCATTTGGAACATATTTATATCTTTATGGATTTAAAGCCTTAACTCAGCAGTATAAAAAATTAATTTTTATGTCATTGCACTTAATTTATATTTTAAGCCTACATTTTACCTGATGGCACAGATGATCACAGTGAATGTAAAATGCTCACCCTGCCTTTCCTCAGTTTCAGAGGCAAATATGATGCTGGCCATTTATTGCCATTTATTTAAACCAACATGTGCTGAGACACTGTCCTTCTTGCCTGTGATTTGCTGGGTATGCTGGCACCTTCCTGGTCTTGGCTACAAGCCTCTTCAGGTCTGCTGGCCATTTAGCCTACAGGGAGCAGGCAGCCTCTGGATACCCATACATACATTCATGTGTACCCTTCTCTTGCCAACCCATAGACACTATTAGCCCAGAGTACAGTAGGTAGACTGGCTCTTCATCCAGCCTTCTATATATGTTCATGGCATGAACTCTATTCCATGAATCTTCTGGACTTAAGTTTTTGAAAATCAAAAGCCCAGGTTTGGGCTGGGAAGGTAGCTCAGTAGTAGAATGCTTGCCTAGCATGCAAAAGGGTTTGACCCTCAGTACTGGCGTGGAGAGGAGCCCAGGTTTGTATACTTCAAAAGCTTTCCACCTGTATCACCCTTTGCTTGAGGCAGAGAATGGTGATGACCTGAGAGGAACGGAGGATAAAAAGGTAGAAGGGAATATTGTTCCACCACTTAAATATATGTTTCAGAGATGTAGCTTAGTAGTAGAGCACTTGCCTACTATGCATGAGGCCCTGGGTTTGATCTGTGGTACAGAGAAAAATATGTGTGTGCGTGCATGTGTTCTATTCTATCACTTCCTTGAACTCCCTTCATAACTTCGTGTGTGTGTGTGTGTGTGTGTGTGTGTGTTTGGGGGAGGGGCACTGAGGATTCAACCCAGGGTTATATTACCACTGAACCACATCCCCGGCCCTTTTATTTGTTTTGTTTATTTTTTGGTTTTTGGTGCCAGGGATTGAAATCAAGGGCATTCAAGTACTGAGCCATATTACCAGCCCTTTTAATTTTAAAATTTGGGCTGGGGGGTACTGGGGATAGAACTCAGGGACACTTGGCCACTGAGTCACATCCACAGCTCTATTTTGTATTTTATTTAGAGACAGTGTCTCACTGAGTTGCCTAGTGCCCACTTGTGCTGAGGCTGGCCTTGAATTTGTGATCCTCCTGCCTCAGCCTCCTGAGCCACTAGGATTACAGGCATGTGCCACCACAGCCTGCTCTTTTTATTTTTTATTTTTTAGACAGCATCTCACTAGGCTGCTTACAACCTCTTTAAGTGGCTGAGACTGGCTTTGAACCTGCAATCTTCCTGCCTCAGCCTCCCAAACTGCTGGGATTACAGGCGTGAGCCACCCCTTTTATTTTATTTTATTTTTATTTTGAGGCAAGTTCTCCCTAAATTGCTTAGGGCCTCACTAATTTGCTGAGGCTGGCCTTGAACTTGTGATCCTCCCAAGCTGCTGGGATTATAGGCATGCACCACCATACCTGGCATAACTTCTGATTTAAAAAACAAACGAATAAAAAAAAAACTTTCACAATACCTTCAAGTTTACCATGATTACAATTAGACTTACATCAGATTGAATTCAGTATAGACTTTGAGAAAGTTAATAGCTGTTTTTTGTTTCTGATAGTTTCACAATTCTGCAGAAAAGAAAATAATAGTGAATTACTATGAGCTACCATTTATTATTCCAGGTGTTTTGCTACAAACGCTATAAGTATTTCCTTAATTTTTATAGTAACCCCACGAAGGAGGGTATTATTTCTTCACTTTATGTATGAGCAAACTGAGGCATATGTAGGTGAACTAACTTGCTCAAAGTCACAAAACTAGGATTTGGGCCACTCAACCAAGTCAATGCAAAACAATCCCAAGTGCTACCATACTTGAGCAGATATCTTTAATGAAACTTCTGTTTAGTTAATGCTTTCAAAAATAAAAGCAGCTGGTTGTTTTAATACTATCAATGAGGAAGTTTTGATTTAAAAACATTGGGTGAACTAAAAAAACCCACAAAAATTATTTTAAAAGCATTGGGTGGAATTAAAAGTCATTTTTATTTCACATCAAACCCTCACATATTTACCTTTTGCTTCTAACTAAAGAAAACCTTGCTCATTGTAAAAACATTCAATTTCCCGTTAAATTTTTTTTTAAGAGAGAGTGGAGAGAGAGAGACAGAGAGAGAGAGAGAGAGAGAGAGAGAGAGAGAATTTTTTAATATTTATTTTTTAGTTTTCAGCGGACACAACATCCCTGTTTGTACGTGGTGCTGAGGATCAAACCCGGGCGGCACGCATGCCAGGCGAGCGCACTACCACTTGAGCCACAACCCCAGCCCTTCCCCATAAAATTATTTCTCCAAAGATTATGGTTACCAATAATATCTTATATATTTCTGTAGGTTTTTTTCCTATCTATATATGAAGTGGCTTCTATCTGTGGATATAGTTTTAAAAAAACACAAGAGTTGGTTGGAGTGTAGCTAGTGGTATGGTGCATGTTTTAGTATGCATGAGACCCTGGATTCAATCCCCAGGACCAAAAATAAAATAATAATAATAATAAATAAGCTGAGCCTGGTGACACATGTCTACTTGGGAGGCTGATGCAGAAGGATCATTTGAACCCAAAAGTTCAAAACTAGCTTGACCAACAGAGCAAGACCCTGTCTCAAATAAATAAGAACAAAGTAATGATATATTCTACAGTAAGGATGAAACTTAAAAACTTAATGCTAAGAGAAAGAAACCAATCACAATAGACAACATCACATCATCCAAGATTCCATTTGTATGAAATATCCTGGAATTATTCTGAGCATACCATCTGCTTTCTGGTGAGACACTAAACTAGATAGATAAGCCCCCTGCTATATTAGAGCTGTCATTTGAATGGTCAAAAAAAGAAAGAAAGAAAGAAAGAGAGAAACAAACAAACAAACATACTAATAAGAATGTTGCAAGCAAAGAAAACAGAAGTACTATCCTCCCAGACAGAAGCTTTTCATGTTGGCTATGCAGAAAGACCCGTGTGACCAACATAGGATGACTCAGTAGAGTAAGTAAAAGAAGTGGATGACTCAGTAGAGTAAGTAAAAGAAGTGGATGACTCAGTAGAGTAAGTAATAAGAAGTGAGGACAAGACCCATCTAATTGGAAGGTGGAGGCAGGAGGATCGCTTGAGCCCAGGAGTTCAAGGCCAACATAGTAATACCATCTCAAGCAAAAAAAAAAAAAAAAGACAATAGAGTGGTGGGCTGGATCATATGCATACTGCTAAATTTTTTACTTGTCTGGTATATTTGGGTAAATATAAATAAAACAAAGACACAACTTTTAGTGTTTGTAATGTAACCTATCATTTTGCATTCTTGATTTTTATTTTTTTTGCAGTCTTTGATTTTTAAATCCTGTGCTTTTTATTACAGAATTGTCAATTACTTTTAGGACAGGAAATCTTTGACTCGTAAAATACAGATATATTTAGGCAATCAAATGTATGCCCCTGTCTTGAACTGAAACATATACACACATAAGTCATTAATAAAAACAAAGCAGGACACGCAAGATTCCTATCACCTAGCCCCTCAAAGGAAAGATACTTTTCATTCACAGTTTTGTATTTTGTTTCATTATTTACTTTTTCTTCTTTTTGAAAATAAAAGTTTATCTTTCCTAAGAAGAAAAAAACTCCTTTGAAAAAGTAAAAATGTGTAACAGATAAGTGTATAGTGATGTAATTCCTGTGAATATGGTACTTTAAGTTGAAGAAAATTTGCTTGTAAAACAAAGATTGCTGTATATGAGCTGTTTTTTTTTTTTTTAAATTCTGCATTCTAAATGCTTACTGTAGCTTCTTTAATAAAATCTTTGTGGGTCTTTATGGGCCTCCTCTGGAAAATCTACAGGTAGCCCAGTAGCTTTATATTTATATGAAAGTCAAAGAATAAACTGAAGATATCAGAAATGGGGTAAAGATTAAAGATCATACCCAAAGAAATCAATTGAGAATCAGTTTTTGGTATAAATGAAGCATAATTAACATTTTTCTTTAATTTTTTTTTTTAGTTGTTGATAGATTGTAATTATTTCTTAATGCTTTTTTTCCCTTTTTTCAAATGCTGGGGATCAGACCCAGGGCCACGTATGTGCCAGGCAACCACTGAGAGGCATTCCCTGCTCTCTCCCTCCATCTTATAAATGCTATCACCAAACCCATTTAAGATTGGAAATAAATTATGTCATGCTGTGGTAACAATTTTAAAGAGTGGCCAGAATGAGAGTCAAAATTCTATAGCATTTCTTTACTGACAAGGAATTGCTGTCCAATATTTTACAAATTGCTCAATTTGTTATTTACTCTAAAGATTAGGTCAATGTGGAGTCATAATCTCTTTGGACCTTAATTTATTCATCTGTAAAATTATGGACTTCTTAAAAATTTAAGTTTGGACTTGTTATAAATCTAATTCCTAGCAGCAAATGTTCATGCATGCCCAGTTTCTGACTGATTAGAGCGCCCTCATGTGTGTCTTTGCTGTAATATTTTAGATATTGAGAAAGTAGTATTAATCTCAGTGACAGCAATACAATTAATAATGTATTTTTGCATTTATGATAGCTTCAAGTATCACTCAGTAAATGCTAGAGTGTGGCTAATTTTACTAAAGTTCCCTATCAAACTTCCTCCATGCCAAATGTTATTCTAAAACAATGTAGTTACTCCTGTTGCTTTGGTTTAAATTTTAATTAAATGACTTAAAGTGTCTTTTTCCTTTAGACTTCCAAGATAAATTTTTCATTATAATATTACTTTATTATCGGGCCTAAAAGAAAACATACAGGCAGTAAGTCATTTTTATGTGATAGCTTGACATCATATTTTTAGGGATAGATAATAAATTTTTTAAATACCTTTGTTTTATTTATTTTTATGTGGTGCTGAGGATTGAACCCATTGCTTCACACATGCTAGGCAAGCACTCTATGACCCCAGCCTCAATAATAAAAATTTACTTATGTAAATCACTGAAAAAAAATTTTTTTTGTCCTAATCAAAAAGACAACATTGGAGGGCACCAAAACAAAATCTCAGGTTTTTGTTTTTTGTTTTTAACAGAATACTTTATTTTTTTATTTTTATGCTAAAGATCAAACCCAGTGCCTCACATGTGTGAGGCAGTACTCTCTGGTTGAGCTATAGTCCCAGCCCAGGAATCAGTTTTTTTAAAAACACACAAAAAAATCAAAATCTCAAAAATCCATTCATATTTTAAATTAAATAAATTTAATAAATATTTATTAAGCATCCACTATGTTCCAGGATTGAAATGTCAAACTATAGTTTCCACAGACACTAAAGCAAAAATGTAGTTCCTTTCCTCCTGTAGAATGACCTTGTAAGAATGGCCTTGCCTAATATCTACTGTAAAGACTTAATAACATAACATATAAGCATATTTTAAAGAGTGAGGTGTTATTAAAATGTTTACAAGAGAAACCTTGGTGACTCTGAGCACTTATCTTTTTTTTTTTTAAAGAGAGAGTGAGAGAGGAGAGAGAGAGAGAGAGAATTTTTAATATTTATTTTTTAGTTCTCGGCAGACACAACATCTTTGTTGGTATGTGGTGCTGAGGATCCAACCATGCCAGGCGAGCGCGCTACCGCTTGAGCCACATCCCCAGCCCTGAGCACTTATCTTAAGGATTATTTTGCATGTGGAAAATTCCTGAATGTGAGGTTCTTCTGATTTTTTAATTTTTCTTCAAATTTTCCATGACAGGAGAGAAAGTAGGATGATAGGATTATGTCAATCTAAGAAGATCGATCTAAACTATTCTTTATCACCTCTTACTCTTTCTCTTAGCAAGATATGGCATGGGCTGGTAGGAAATGGTAGTAGTTAAACCAAGAGGTCAGACTGGCTATACTGGACTAGCTAGAATGAAGCAATGACTCCTCTGGCAGAAGCCAGAATTTTCACCTTCTAAAATTTCCTGAAACCAGATACCAGCAACCCTTGATATTATACTGAGATGATATAAGTGGTTCTGTGATCCTAAGGAAAATTGATTAGAAATCCTCCCACTTTTTTT